TGCTTCAGAGCTGAGGAGGATCACGGAAGACCTTCCAGACCAGCAGAGTAGTTAGGAAATACTCATTGCGCGGAATTCGTCGTGTTTTTAGTGATCCGTAAACCCTGAACGAATCTCATGGCATCCAACGTGTCCACTTAATTTGTTAGTACCTTAATTAGCCCAGTATATCATCACTTATCACTAACTGTGAATCTGATACAGTCGATTGGAATCTAACAAACACTCCGTGAGGACAATGTGGAGTGTAGCGGGTATAAACTTGTCATTTTGCGTGAATAACGGTTCATGGCATGCGTGAAACTGACCATCCCTACGGCCGCATTGGTGTGTTCTGAGGCACGGATGTGATTTCTTGTCGAAAGGGAAAGGATGTGCTTCATCTCCTTATCAACAGAAATCCGCCGTTACGGGGGAAGTCTTGGGTTGGTTTAATTAGTTTGGTATAATTAATGATATTTATTTGTGTATGCAAGGTATTTCGGTATAGTATCTTCAAATAGGCCACTGCCGCCTTTTTTCCCAAATCTTTCCGACTATGCTATTGTTCTATCATATTTTGCAGTTGAAACGGTGGCATTCACAAACCGTAGCGTAATTTAATCCTCAGATAAAAGGTTTGAGATATTACCTCCCCATAAGATGGTGGTAAGTCTGTCCCGTGTACGGGCTACTCAGTGCTATTTATTATTTCTTTAGTGTTCTGTCTGACGACAGGTCCATATGAACAGGATCCTTCCATCCTTTTCTCGGACTGGGACCTGTTCATATACATTCTTGGCAGATGATCCAGAAGTGGTTTGCCATTGCCTTCTTCTGTGTGTGAATGGAGTAATTGTTGGGATGCCACGGAGGAAATCTCCGTGTTGCCTAGACCACGGCCTTGCCCAACACAAGTTATAAATTCGGGCGCCGTACTAGAATGGCCTCTTTTTAATGTCGTTACGACTCCCATGGGTCAATTTTCCGGACGGCGAAGCCCTTAGAGCGCCAGGTTTGCCCTTTCTGCGTGCACCCACAGTCATCTTTTGGGATAGAAAATAGAACCGTGCTATGTGAATGTAGTAGTGCATCTGATGAAAACGATTGGCTGAAATAAAGTTAGGGGCGTTACGTTCCTTGTGTCTTGCTGCTAGACTCGGTGATAATGCACCCGAGTTTGACAACTTTCTTCCCCACAGTATTGTCGAATGTTGTGTTGAACGAACTCGGTGCTCCGTTTTACAATGGGTGCATTTTGTTAAGGCGTGGCTGTATTAAGCTTACGTGAATTATAACCCGTACTGCATTTTCACATAACACGAAATAATCGGTTGCGTAGTAAAGTTAAGTACTACTGACAAAGTCTGCTTTTCCTTTCTTGTTTTCAGATTTATAGTCATTCAAATTTTGCGTCGAGAATGTTGTATTTAATTAATTCGAGTTCATATTGGAACATTGGAATTCAGTTCGTGTATGATTTGAGGTTTTCACAGCGGTGAGTATGAAGATTTCTGTCTTCTGGGTTGTTGCGCTGTGTAGTCTGGTCGATGTTTACCAACGTATCAGAGGTCATACTGCCTCCGTCATCAGGGCGAT